GGCCCGGGGGGGGGGCCGCTGCAGGCCGGTGCTGCGCGGCCTCCTCCCGCCCCGCGCGTTAATTAACGCTGCTAATTCACCCGGGTAACGAACCCCGCTGCCCCCTCCGCCCCCGTGGGGCTCCCGGGTAGGCCCGAGGGCGGCCGCGGTGCTCAGGGCCTTCCCCAGTCCTGCGTTCCCGCCGCGGGGCCGAGGCCCGCTTCCAGCTGCGCCTCAAAAATCGGCATTTTCCCCAGGTGCCCACCTGCAGCAGCGGAAGGGGGAAGCGATGGCGGGAGAGGAGGGGTTCGCCCTTCCCTGCTGCGGGCAGGCAGAGCTCGGGTCTCGGCCGCGGACCTGCCGGGCGTTTTGGAGGGGCTGCAAGCAGAACGGGAGGCGAAACTCCCTGGCGGTGCCGCTTCCATATCCGCTTCGGTGCTGAGAAGCGCGTCAGGGCGCGGGGAAGCCCTGGGCTGCTCCGCTTCCATCAGTTTTGTGACCCGCCTCACTGAAAACCCCGCTTGGTTGGAGTCTTGTTTCCAGGTGGTTTTGTTTTTCAGAGCCTTTTCCACTCCGTCTCTTCGTGTTGCCCGGGATGAAGCGTGAAAAGGGAAGCGGATATAAATGGAGAAATGGGCATGAATTTTTCAGAGCCCTTTCCAACAGCACGCCTCGGCCGCCCGAGCAGAGGGTTTGCAGTTAGCGCCCGCCAGCGCTGCTGGAAATGCCCTTTCTGGGGCACTGCCCATCAGCGCCACCTGCCCTGCCTGTCTGCTTGTCCTCGAAAGGACAGGGAGCAGTTTAACAGCTCAGCTTTTTATTTGTTGGGGTTTTTTGGGGGGGAAGGGGTATGGTTATTATGAAGTTCGAAGCTTCAGCGCAGGTCTCATTTTGAAGCTGGGCTCAGTGGAAACCCAGGGAGTGGCTGAATGCGGAGCCCATGCGAAAAATCTGGATTTTTCCAGGCTCACCAGAGCCCGGATTCCTGAAAATCTGGCCCCGAGAGGTGGCTGCAGCAGGAGGAGCCGGAAGGGCTACAGCTCGCAGGGAGCTACAGTGGCCTCCGCCAGCTCTGCCAGGCGTGAAACCCCACTGCCAAGTCCAACCTTGCCGAACAGCCAAGGATCAGGCTGTGCCTCGTGGGGACGCGCAGGATCACCCTCCAAAGATCCACCGCTCCAGCAGCTAATTTCGCTCTACCTTCAAGCACTGGCTTTTAATTAAATGGATCATGCTGCCAACTTAATCATTCCCCATCCCAAGCCCTTGAAGGGTGTTGGGAAGCAGAGGGCAATCCTGCATTTGGAGAGGGGGGAAAAAAAAAAATAAAAAATCCTGTTTCTGGAGAATCATTGCTTTGGTTCAAAACCACTGTGGCTCCGCCGGGGCTGGGCAGTAATTTGGGGGCAAAATGTCTACACCATCTGCAGAGGCGTTCGCTCACCCTGGAGCCGCGGCTTCACGCCCTCCACCTTCCCCCCGAGTTCCCCTTTTGCTGCTGCCGGGCTTTTTGCTTGGTTGGGGCTTTTTTTTTTTTTTTTTGCCATTTGCTGGCAAATGCTAAAATGTCAGGCCTGGGGCCGGTTCCCTTCGCTGATCCCCTTCCAGCCGTGCGGAGGCGGAGGGGAGGGAAGGGGCCAGCTTCGATGGGTGGGGGGGATGTCTTGTTTGGGAGGCGAGCAGCATCTCCCTGTGCCCGGGCATCGCTCCGTGTCTCTGGAAAGCACATGTCCCCGGGCAGCACTTTGTTTCCCAGTCCAAGTTACAAATCACGGCTGTTTCCCAGCAAAGCGAGGAATTGCATGAACGGCTGTGCAGACGGGAAGCGGCACCCGTGGGCGTCCTCGGCTGCCGCAGCTCCCAGGACGGGGATGCTCCGGGTGGGCACGGCCATTTCCCGATTGATGGTTCCCCACGTCTGTGCCGGGCTCAGGCAGTGCCGCTGCTCCATGGCTTCGCTTGGAAGCTGACACGATCTGGGCTCCGTGCCCCCTTTTAAAGCAAGCCCTGACCTAGATTTCCCTGCCCGCTGCAAAGCCGGCTGGGTTCTGCTCTCCCCGTCGCTCCTCCCTGCGGCTGGAAAGGGCCCAGCAGAGCAGTCCTGGCTCCTGCTCGTTAAGCCAGTGGCTATTAGCCCCGTCAGGAGCGAGTCTGCGCTGGCTGATAGAGCCCTATCGCGTTTTGTCCGGCTGAGCGCTATTCCCAGGGACTAACGGAGCATCCCCCGTGCAGGAGGGGCGGCCGGTGGGGCTATCTCTGCACCCAGACACAGCGATGATGGCCCATGGCCAGCTCTTGGCTCTGCCTGCTCCCCCCACGGCAGTGCCCCCCCGTCCCCATCACACCCCCCGGGATGTCCCACCCCTCAGCCCGGTCAGGGCACTGGTGCCTGGGCTGACGCGGGGGGCACAGCATTGACTGGGGGGTGCAGCAGGGAGGGACCGTGGCTGCATGGTCTCCAGTGGAGTGTGGGTGCAGTGCTGCCTGTCTGTCCATCCATCAGTTCATCCATCTGCCTGTCCATCTATCCGCCTGTGCATCAGGAGCTGGGGGCTACTTTGCTAAATGCATCAGCGCAGGGCGTCTACGGACATGAGAGGTCATCTACCCATCCGTCTGTCCGTCCATCCATCCATCCATCCATCCATCCATCCATCCATCCATCCCTCCATCCCTCCCTCCCTCCCTGTGTCTGTCTGCCTGTCCTTCCATCCATCCATCCATGGCTCCCCAGCAGAGCCAGACCCGTCTCTCAGTTATGGACCCAACCTTCCCTTGGAGAGCTGTTGCCCGCTCATTGTCACCTATGCCGGGTGGCTGCACAGGGTGGCGTTTACCTGGGCACTGGGGGCAAAACAACCTCTTAAGAGCAAAAAGAAGCATTCAAAAATGGCGTGTGCACCAGCCCCCCCTCCTCCTTTGCGGAGTTGGGACACTCAGGACACAAAGGTGGTGGTTGGGAGCATTGGGGGGTCCCCTACAAGTGTCGCTCCCCAGGCATCACCCCGCAGGCTGCCCAACCCCCTTGTGCACCCCCCAAAAAAACCCTTTCACATTTCAGGTGAGACAGATCCTCTTT